CACGGCTGGAGGTGGCACTGTGGGAGGTGACACCACGGGAGATGCCACCACGGGATGTGACGTCACGGGAGATGCCACCACCGTGGGAGATGTCACCACCGGAAATGTCATTGATGGAGAGGCCACCATTGGAGATGTCACCATTGATGATGTCACCATTGATGATGTCACCATTAGAGATGCCACCACCTTGGGAGATGTCACCACCGGAAATGTCATTGTTGGAGATGTCACCATTGATGATGTCACCATTGGAGATGTCACCTTTGGAAATGTCATTGTTGGAGATGTCACCATTGATGATGTCACCATTGATGATGTCACCATTGATGATGTCACCACCATGGCACGTGCCACCATGGGCGGTCATGACACAAGAGGTGCCACCACCGTGGAAAATGTCATTGTGGCTGATGTCACCCTGGGAGATGCCACCATGGGAGGTGACGCCGTGACAGGAGCCACCAACACGGCGAGTGCCACCACCGTGAGAAATGTCACCGTGGGAGATGCCACCACCATCGGGGATGTCACCGTTGGAGCTGTCACCGTGGGAGGTGTCACCGTGGGAAATGTCACCGTGGGAAATGTCACCGTGGGAGTTGTCACCGCCATTGCAGATGCCACCGTGGGAATTGTCACTGTTTTGGGAGGTGCCACCGTGGGAAACGGCGCCATGGGAGGTGCCACCACCTCTGTGGGAGATGTCCCTGTGAGAAGTGCCACCGTGGGAAATGCCACCGTGGGAGACGATGCCACCGTGCAAAGTGCCACCAGCGTGAGAAATGTCACCGTGGGAAATGTCACCGTGGGATGTCCTGGTGCCACCATTGGATGTCCCAGTGCCACCACCGGATGTCCCAGTGTCACCATGGGATGTCCCAATGTCACCGTGGGATGTCCCAGTGCCACCGTGGGATGTCCCAGTGCCACCATTGGATGTCCCAGTGCCACCACCATGGGAAATGTCACCGTGGGATGTCCCGGTGTCATCGTGGGATGTCCCAGTGCCACCATTGGATGTCCCAATGTCACCGTGGGATGTCCCAATGTCACCATTGGATGTCCCGGTGCCACCGTGGGATGTCCCAGTGCCACCGTGGGGTGTCCCAGTGCCACCGTGGGATGTCCCAATGTCACCGTGGGATGTCCCAGTGTCACCGTGGGATGTCCCAGTGCCACCGTGGGGTGTCCCGGTGTCCCCGCGGGTGCCACCCCGGGCCGTGTCCCCGCTGCCCCCGGCCCTGTCCCCTCGGGGCCGCATGTCCAGGCTGTGCCAGCGGTCACTCAGGCCCGGGCGTGGCCGGAGGTGTCCAGCGATGTCACCATGGTCACCGCGAGGGGACACCTGGGGGACACAGAGCGGCCACGGGGGGTCAGCGGGAGGGGCCAGGGGTCACTCAGGGGTCACTCAGGG